CAAGTGCTATGTGCCTGTAACGATCACAGGTTACAAGAATGAACTTTTAAGTGTCTAAATTTGTATTTTGTGAGAGTTATTAGAACTCTCAAAGGGGGAACTGTTGGATTACAAATGTAAGAATCTGTTTAAAATATGCTGAGCCTATGTTCTGACATAGCATCACATGAAAAACTAAGGTGAAGTGTAGCAAGAGGTTCCTGTCTGTTCCTGTTCTCTTATTGTTAGTCAAATGAACCAGATTACTGAGACTATCACCTTTTGTTTGTAATGGCTCTTGGTGCCGCTGTCCCAGTCTTTGAGTAGTTATACTGATTGGATTAGCACCTATGCATTTGAATGACACTGTTATGCTGATGAGATCAAGGCTGGGAAAATGCCGGTGTCGGGCTGATTCCTGTACTTCACTTGCATGCTATGGGTTAGATTGTCTCCACCTCTAATGAATGTATCCCTCCCCCTTAAATGTATATAAACTACAATGTATCACTGCCTTAGTTAGACTTGGATGACTGCAGCGACGCACGAGTCCTCAATAAAGAGTGACTTCTGTATGAAAAATATCCCAACGTCTCCTGGTCTCTGCTTCGACGAGGAAAACGTTTCCTACAATTCAAACATTCAAACAAAAAATAAAAAGTTGCAGTACTTGGGCCTTAAGACCCAATGTGTTCATATCCAGCACGCATCAAACCACAATTTAAAAATAAATAAATAACATTTAAAAAAAAAATTTCCCACAACATCTAGTAGTACAGCGTGACCAAACAAATTATTTCCATGAGTCAGTTCTTTTTAGTGAATCAAAAACATGCAGCATGACCAATCTGATGTAGTCTGACTAACAAACAGATGATTCATATGAGCTGGTTCTTTTAATGAATCAAAACACATTGCACAAACTTACCATTGATGTCTGTTTTTTCAAAACGGACCCAAACTATCTTCTCTTTTTCATCATTTGGAGGTGTCCCAGTATATGCCTGAAAATTCAAAGATTAATAAAGGCTAGATTTTTTTTTCTAACTAAATTGTTCTTACTCTCACTAGCTATGACTTATATGTCTAAAAAGGGAGTCTTTCATAGGCTCTCAACATTTTTACAACAGAAATACACTGAAAATCAAGCATTATCCAACATGGACTTTAAATTACAACACAGAAGAAAAAAAGCAACATCTTAAGGGGAAAAAAAACATTTACCTGAGGGACTACATCCTGCAAGAACGTAACTACGCTCTCCATGTATGACTGCTCTCTGCAAAACAGTAAAAACAATTCTCATGAAAATAATATAACCACACAAGAAGAGACCTGTCCATTTAAACCTAAACGTTTGTGAACCAATGCAATGTTTTGTCACCTTTTTGTTTATGACAACCAATCTTAACATTTACAATACTGAACAGGCTTTACAGCTGTAATTTTATTCACAAACGAGCCATTATGGTCTTACGTTGCAGCCTGTGCTCGAACCACAACCCCACCAGCACAGCGGCTCGGTCTGCGCGGGGAGTCAGACGCCATGGCCAACCACTCAGTACCCTGTTGGAGCAGAGCAAGAGAAGATGATCATTACACTAAACATCAATGCAGAGATGCCTCATTGATCATCCTGATCTCAGTATTACTCTAAATTCAACAGAAGTAAAAGGCTACATATGATAACTGCATCACTACAGACCATCCACCTTGCAGATGGATGTAAACAAATAAGGCACAGATGTGTCTGGCTCAGTTTAATCTGCACAAAAGACCCATTCCTGTTAAGTATTGATCCTGTAAACGATCTAACACAGACTTGCTACGACAAGCGAGATAAACAAAATAAAACACTTTAAATCAACTCCAGCAAGATTTGCTAGTACGTTAACCAAACAATAGGATGTAAATACCTTTATTGCCATCATAATAATGTGAGTAGCTCTTGATTTAGTTACATTTTACATTACATTTAACACAATTTAATGTAAGACAATGTCCAAAAAGATGTCAAGAGTGTATCAGAGAAAACACAGCTGTGAGTTTTGTCAGCTCAACATTTCATCATATCAACTATCTCCAGTCTGTTACGTTAGCTTAGCCAATACCGCTGTCATTACAACGCTTCAAAGACAATAAACCGAGCCATGACAAGAACTTTTCTGACTTCCTGAAAGAAATATATATGTGATGTATGTAAGAAATGTGCAGTTGAATTTTTAATGAAGCGACATTTGTACTAACCAGAGGTTTTGTTTTGAATTCGGATCAACAGAGGTCCTCACAAAACGCCACAGTGAAGATGGCATGCAGCGGAAACAACAGATGCTTTGGCCAATCAGTGATTAGCGTCGGAGACGGATAGCCAATAGAGTTAGGGCAAAGGTGGGCACTTGGACCTTTCTGACCAATAGTGGATGGTTTGGGTTTTTTTGTTCGCTGAACGAATCTGACGCGTTGTTAAAATTAACGTTAACATCAAGGTGAAGTGTTATATAAAGCAAATATTTCTTTGTTTCACGCTCATATGCGCATCTCCAAATTTGAAAATTTGCACAACAGCCTGGATAAACGTGCACGTTACATCACGTCACGCTGATGTTTATTTACATCGAAGTATCGCGTGATCACCAACCAAGCTATTTCGCACAACCTCGGCTTCTTTCGGAAAAACGAGGTTTTAGTCACAAAAAAAATATGAATGAATGTATAGTGGTTCTTATCGTCTAAGGATGTCTTGAAATTATTTAAACTAGTTATATTAAAATAACTTAATGCAAACTGAAATCATATTTCTTATTTTAATTGGACCCTTTAATAACTTTCAATGTTTTTATTGAAGAGCATAGTTTTCAAAAATTTTATTGACCTGTTTAGCATAGCAGCACCTTTAGTTTAGAATGACAATTTCTCCCATCATAGGAAAAAAACAATGTTAATGAAATCCTTGAAACATTAAAATAACCATAATGTTTAAAATCCATAATGTATAATTCATAAAGTTCATGCTTGCATACAATGTTAAACCTTATGACACAGGGTTAAGATAGCAATGAACACTAGAAATGATGTATCATTCTCCTTGTTCAGTAAAACCATGTACAAAGAAAACTATAACATTGATCCCAAAGAGATTAAATCTTTTTGAAACAGACGACATGTACGCTGTAGGGAAATATCTTCTCAGAAGATAGAATTTCTTTTTTTTTTCTTCTTTTTTTGGTCATTTTTCCGCACAATCCTCCAATTTTCCAAAAAGACTGCACAAATTCAACTTAAAAAGTGCATAAATCCCTATTTGATCCATCAAAACAAAACAAAATCTAAACATTTGCATTAGTCTGCAAAATATAAAGTATAACAATATACCACTAACATAGACTAAAATATGAGTGTCGTGAATGGAAGCGAGTGATTTTTGTTTGTTTCTTTCTTTCTTTTGACATTGTTACTTGCTTTAGGATTTGGTTTCTCAGTAGCTTATATCAACTAATATGAGAGTCTGACTGTCCAGCATTAAGTGTACGGATTGCATTGTATTAGGACCATGAATGTCAGCAAACACATACAGCAGCCTTCCCATGCTGTTGAAGCAGCGCTTGGACAATTTCAGACGGTTTCTGACCATTGCCGCCACCACCGCTCCTCGCCGAGGACTGTGTGCTCAGTTTCTTTGAAGATGTACATGAGGACTCTTTAAGAGGGGAATGGGACAAACTACGACGGGGTTTCTTCAGCACAGGTGAGGAGGAATCCTCTAGCATCCGTTTGCCTGTAGGCACTCTGTCACAATGGGCCTCATTTTCCAGTGAGTCATTACAAGGCAGGTCTTCACAGTTTGTAAGGCTATCAGGAGATGATTCAAATATCATGCTCGTCTCACAGCTGCCGTTTTGCTGCTCCGTGATGGGCTGTACTTGAGTGTCAGGACCCTATAAAACAAGGAACTATGTATGAAGCTTGAGTGTGGTGTTATTTTTAATCTAAATCCACAATAAAATACAGTATAAAACAAAAACAATACACTCTAAAAAATGCCCCAGAAGGTTGGGTTAAACATTTAACCCAACCGCTGGGTCAAAACAGCCCAATTGCTGGGTTTGTCCCTATTTTACCCAGCACTGGGTTGTATTCAACCCAACATTTTTTAGCGTGTAGCCTTATAAAATGAAGCAGGCCTTAATTAATTGAATGGACACCGCTGTTGTATTGTTAAAAGAACAGTTCACCTCAAAAAAGAAAATTTGCTGACCATGTACTCGCCCTCAGGCCACCCAAGACAAAGATGAGTTTGTTCATTCATCGGAAAAAATTTAAAGAAATTTAGCATTACATCACTTGCTCACCCTTGATATCTTGTCTGAATTAGGAGAGAAATATGCACAGATCAAGCACCGTTTACAAGCAAAACAGTTTTAAACAAATATGTCAGTGGATTTTGATGTGAGAGGACAACAGGGGATGGACATTTTCACTGGAAGAAGCATTATTATGGATTATGGACTGGTATTTTTGCCAGAACCAACGGTTTAAAGTTAAAATGCCTTACTAATGGATTTGTTTCTTATAAACACCAAGCTTTTCACTTCCAAAGACGTCAATTAATGGACTAGAGTCTGTTGTGGATTATTGTGATGTTTTTATCAGCTGTTTGGACTCTCATTCTGACAGCACCCATTCACTGCAGTGGATCCATTGGTGAGCAAGTGATGGAATGCTAAATTTCTCCAAATCTGTTCCGATGATGATTCAAACTCGTCTACATCTTGGATGGCCTGATGGGAGTACATTTTCAGTTTTGGGTGAACTATGCCTTTAAATAGAAAATCTGAAACATTCCTAACCTGAGTGGGCAAAGAGTTGGTGCAAGATTTAGGAACGGAGCCACACTTTGGTCCTTGTAGATTATACACAGTCTCGTAAGGTGGCAAGCACTCAGAGGATGTCCCGAACGGCTCCAAACAGATAACAATGGCACTAGTATTATCAGCACGGAGCATGCGTTGATGCCATCTCAGTAAGGCATGGTTCACGAGCAGAATAGCATTTGAAACATTTTCCTTTTGGTTCTTTGGCTGTTAAAATAAACATTCAGATAAGTGAACGTTTCTAAAAGACAACTAAGACCTTTCCTGTCACATAAATTTAAATTATTGACCTTGGCATTGTCATTTTCCTGGCAAATAGACACAGCCTCCTGTGGTGATACCATGTTCCATAACCCATCACTGCCTAAGATGATGTAAAGGTGCTGCTTCAAATCCAGTTTGATAACAGCGGTATCAGGCTCTGGTGACACTACAAACTCTCCACTGTAGAAGTCGTAACTCCACAGATCACCTGAAGACACATTAATGTGCATTAAATTATTGGATGCATACTACAACAACAACAACAAAAAGCATGTAAAAATCAGTGGCATTTGGACACATTTAGTCAGTAAGGTTTTGATTGGCATTATAAGATCTTTAAATCACCTTCAAAATCATCTAGAAGTTTTAAAGGAACAGTACACCTGAAAATGAGAATTAAAATAATTACAGATTTTAATTTTTGGGTGAACTATTTCTTCTTAGAACTGCTTGACATCTCCTTGATATACAACCAGGGCTCAGTGATAAAGATTTTCCCTACTGGGTTTTTACTTATGCTGCCAAAATGTTCACTGGCCCCACTACAAAAAAAGAAAAGATACCACATCCATTTGACCTATGCAACTAGGGCTGCACGATAAATCGAAATGGAATCGAGATTGCGATTCGACAGAAGCTGCGATTGTCATGCGTATCTTTCAGTGAAGCACGGTTCTGTGATCAGCAGTAAATCTCCATCCAAAGGCCAGAGGGCGCTCTCGCGTTGAAACTCCAAATACGCACAGAAGCTATGCAAACAGCTGTCATTATAGCGAACGATTTCTTCGATTTCAGAATCGCGCAATAAAATCGTCGATTTTAAAAGAAGCGATTTTTTTGCGTAACTTGTCAGTGAATTACGGCTCTGTGTAGTAAATGCTGCTCCATCTGAAAGCACGTGATGATGATTTACTGCTGATTACAGAACCGGCATTACTATCAAAATGCGCATGACAATTGCATTCGATTAATCGTGCAGCCCTATATGCAACCTTGCATTAATAAATAAGGCTGTTACACCACTAATATTTTACATACCATTGAAACTTCACTGTATGTTCAGTCAGGACAGGAGCAGTGAATGATTCTCTCTTTTTCTTCTGTTGTTTGATTAACATTAAGGACACATATACAGCAGCAGCATGTTGTTGACATAATTTTACATTTATTTGTTCATTCAAGCATGATAAAATGACAATTCCGTCAACTGTCCTGAGCGTCTTTCACACTTGACCCGGGCCACTGCACAGTCCTCATTGTTGAGCCCTGACAACCTTGCTAAACTCAGTTTAAACACCTAAACAGCATGTGTTGCAATTCAACATTCTGCTTGTCGTAGCTAAAGAACAGAGTATATCATGGTGGCATGTTGCAATTCTCAGAACAACAGACAATCTCTGCTGACTTGTCAGATATATTGAAACTCACTCAACATTTTAATCACTGTTTTTCCAATCATAACAGCAACGATGACCTCTTGTTATGAAATAGCTTAAACCTCTTACCAAGAGCTCGGGCCACAGCCAAAAATGGGATCTGATCGATGACTGTGCTCCTTCTTACTGGTCCATTGTGGGTCAGTCTGGGTCTCTTCCACACCACCCTATTGACTCCAGACTTTTTAATGACACTAGAGGAGAGGTGTGACAATGATCACTGCTGGGTCTCATCATAGTTAAAATTTAATGCACAAAAAACTGCTGACCAAAGATAATTGTACCTCTACCTAAAACTAAGCCTGATTCACTAGAGTATAAACATTGTTGACACTTAAGCCATTATGAAACATACATTTAAAGTGGCAACTGGCAAGACAATGATACAAGCCATTGGATGCTGGTCTATATCATGTTGACATGCTTATGTTCTTTCAGGCTAAAAGACAAAGAAAGCTTGTGTTTAGCTTATGATAATGTGGACAAATGCCAGAGCATGTTTGGTTATGTTGTACCACTTTGAAGCTGTGGGTGCATAAACAAAAACCAGTTAGACCACTGTGGACATACAGGGCTGAAAGAAACAGGCACCGGTTTGTGTTTTCCTGATGAGTGTTGACATAAAATAAAAGAAAAAAGGATGGTTACTTGTGACGGTTAACCAAAAAAGTGGACAGCATGAAAGCCAACAATCAAATTGCAAAATAATCTCATCCAGCTGTGTCGCTAGCTCATGCCTCCACAGATCATTTACCAAAAGCAGAAGGTACCAAGAGTGTGTGAATACAGTTAACATTAGTTGTGTGAGCTTACTTGTTTTATAGAACAACTCACCTGCCACCGAGCCCCTCTATTCTCTCCCTTTCCTTCGGGAGGTCAGGTTTGTGGTCCTGTGTAATTTCTACAGCTCGAATGAACTTGTCAGAGGGGTGATCCTGCACCCCTAACACCACCGCTGAGTCCCCAACATGGGCAACATACATACGGTCACGTCGTATTACAACAATACTTGCAGTTGTGCCCGATGTGCTGGGAAGTCCTGTAACTGTCTTTGGCCATTCCGCTATAAGAAAGCATATTATATAGTTTTCAAAAACAGATCAGTGAAGTAACTCTTTCTGTTTAAAATGGATAGCTCACAGAAAATTCTGTTATACATGTTGAAGAAAAAGGCAAATGTTTGGCAAAATGTCCAAGCTGCTGGTCTTAACTTAAACCAATGCCTATAGTTTGTCGTTTGTTTTGGTTTGCTTGTTCTGTTCTGTCTACATGTACCTTTATGTTTATTATGCCTATAGGTATTTAATAAGTTAACACATTTTTGTTGTAGGTACTCAGTCAGTTGCACAACACGCTAATGCACCTTTAAGCAGGGTGTTGAGCTGTGATTTCTGTAAGCAAAACACTATTCTGATCTGATGTGCTGTCACTCTATTTCAGATATGGGTTAGTTGTTTGGTGTGGCCTGCAGTGGTTGTGCAACTTATTTTGGCGGGGTAAATCGGATGTTGCAACCTTTATTCAAAATGATCAGTTGCCTGGACTCTTTCCCTTGCACGTCCATAAAATGGCAGAGACTTCAGTGTTAAACGAGAACGTGTATATGTGACGTTCAATTTCATAACTTACGTAATTTCTTCCACATGGCATGGTGACAAGTGATGAATCCCTTTCGCAGAGCAGCGCACACCTCGTCGTCGTCCTCAGACCAAAAGCCTCTTTGTTTTTTGATGTGGTCCCACAAATGGCGGCGAGCAAAGCGTGCGGCGTCCGGACCTCCGTGTCCGTCGAACACGGCGAACATAGCCACAGCCCGCGGCCGACGACTGTATTTGGACGGGTGAGAGGAGGGCATCGCCGCCTGCTGAAGAGTAGAGCTAGGCTCATCGTCTTGAACATAAGTAACAGTGATAGATCCGGGGATGGAGTCTTGGATTGAAGCGTCGGGGTTTTGGTCTTTTGCTTTTGCCGCGATCTCGCCACGTTCGGCGGCGTCCAGTTCATCTTCACTCGGCTCATCCTCCTGCTTCATCGTCACTAAGTCCTCCATGTATTTCCTGCCGCCTTGGTCATAATTAATACTTGCTCGACATGAAAATATCCCATCCATGTTTTGATCGGACAGAAAGGCCGGTAGGAGAGCAGTGTTTAATGTTTAGGCAGGACTGAGGCCGGTTGTGCGCTTTCCTCTTTGTTTACCTTCAGTGAGTGTTGTAGTGGGCATGCGCAGAAGCACCATGACAAGTCATGGGGCAGTGGAACCCCTAAAGTTATTTATTTGACCCTTGATTTGATTCGAGATGAGCCCTTCAGACTGCCATAACATAATAAGAGTACAACAACAACAAATCTATCTATCTATCTATCCATCCGTCCATCCATCCGTCCATCCGTCCATCTATCCGTCTATCCATCTATCTATCTATCTATCTATCTATCTATCTATCTATCTATCTATCTCTCCATCCATCCATCTATCTATCTTAACTTATTTTAAATTGAGTAAATATAGTAATAGAAAGCATGTAACATTGTATCATCACATCACATGCATCTTTTAATGTCTGCATTACAGTAGTTTTGAAATTATGGATAATATGGTTTTGTTTTGTTCAGATGGGTGAATGACGGTGGGAAGAAATGGGGGTTGTATATTGTTGAGAGTGATGCATAGCAACAAATAAAGCAATTTATTGTTTTATTTTGAGCTTTATATATAAAATGCCTGCATATAAACATACGACCCTGTATATATATTTGCATTATGAAGATTTATACACGACTAGGCTACTAGAAAATATTATATATCATTTATATGATTGTGTATTTGTACAAGCCGTTATTTTATTTTAAGTTACAGCATATTTTGAAGGAGTCTTTACCCTTGTGCTTATTTGTCTCAAAGACAGTATCCTACAGTAGTGAATCTTGAAAATCAAGAAAGACATCTAGCCAGAGCTTTTTGTGATCTGTCTATCCAGTGGAACTGAGTGAGATGTGCAGTAATTTTAGTGGATCCATTCTAGAGTAGACAGGCAGATGGATCAGATAGATTTACGAATTCTTACATGTCAAGAGGTGTCCAGCAGATGATGCTTTACGCCTAAAAGATACAATGCACCATAATCTGATTTTACAGTGTTCTAATAATTATGAGACTTTTATTAGTAAGTCTATGTGAGTGTAAAGAGTGATTTAATTAATTATACCCTTGTCTGTTTTTTTAAATGCTTTTCTCTTTGACCTTCCAAGCTGCGTGTGGCATATGAAATTGGTCAAATATCAAACTAAATGACTTTTATTTTGAAATTCCGTCTGACGCTCACATCCGTTCTGGAAGTGGAAGCTGTTGTCAACGGAAGTATTGTCAACGGTCGACTGCACCTTACAAGCCACTTTTAGGGGCGCCGCACTTGCTAGAGGTAAAACAGTGTGAAGTTTTAAAGCTTTGAATCATTCATTTATATAGGCGGAAGAATGTCTGTATATCTTTTAACCTGCCTTTATGGTTCACTAAACAAATCAAAAAGCTACGTTAGCTCGCCTCTTGGATTGACCACATAGACTCCTGGCGGCTTCTCTGATGATATTGGTACATAGTGATAGTCCTCACACTTGTTTCAGAGACATAATTTATGGTAAACACGCTCTGGCAATGTATTCAAACGTTCGGCTACTTTGTTCATAGTGTTATGTTCTCACTAATACGCTTATGCAGGGCTTTATATAGTCTGTATTCATAAGAGGGTTTATGATGATGCCAACCTCTCCTATTATGTGATATGAATAGTTATGGTCGTGTGATAATGCATGCAATTTCATTGAGGGAAAAAAATGTTTTTGCTCTTGTTGCATTCTTGTCTCCTCTCGTTTAGGTTCAGGGATTTTTTCAGCTCTCCACCTTTTGCTTTAGGGCAGGCTTCCAGCCATGGTGAGGCTCGCTATCATCATTCTGTTATGGTTCATGTCAAGATGAAAAAAACTGGAGGGTCCTGATATATAAAAATGTTGTATATATCAGATACCTTGTATAGGGAATTGTGTTAATTTTATTATTTATAACATGTAGACCAAATGTGTTAAAACTGTAATATAATCAGTGTTTTTTTTTTTGCCTTTTTCTCTTTTTCTCTCTTTGTCAGTCTGCTGTGGTGGATCTAAAGACGAAGGAGGAGAAAGATGCAGAGCTGGACAAAAGGATCGAAGCTCTGCGGAAGAAGAATGAAGCTTTGGTCAAGAGATATCAGGTGAATTTAACTGCTGCCACTCTGACAATTTGTTTATTTGATGTACTGCTAATAATTCTTTATGTTGACTTTAAGTGTTATTCATTGTACATGGATTGAGCATTTGAGATGCTCAGATTCAAGGCTTTTATCTTGGTCAGTTTTTATTAATTAATTCAGCTTGCTTGTCTTCTCTTGTGTCACCAGGAAATACAGGAAGATAAGAAAAAGGCTGAACAGGAGGGCATCGCTGTGACAACACCTCGCAAACCCCGCCCTCATGAGCCTGAGTCTGAACGGAGAAAGACGGAAAAGGAGAACTTCTCAGTGACCGTTGACTTGTCCAAATCAGCTGCGTTAAAGACAGATGTCAGAATATTTTCATAGAATAGCAATTTACCATAAAATTACATTATATGGTATTATCATAATTGGTTCTGCAAAAAATGACTGTTTAATGCAACTCAGAGGTGGCATATATGCATCTACACTGCAATTGCAGTTGCATAAATAATGCTGTGAGATTTTGAATATTGAAATATGAATGACTGGACTAAAACCGGCAATAGGTGAAGGCAAGGAGTTGTTCAGTAATGTTATCATAGACTATACATATTGCACACCCCTAAAAATAGCTATGATCTATATCTTCACAGCCCTAAAGCCTGTAGTTCATCAGATATTTTTGGCTTTTTAAAAATAAAATATTAAATAGAAGCAGTATATGTAAGTATTCCGTATTAATAATTGTACTATGTTTTTTAATTCAAGTTTGATTCTGAATAACCTCAGACCGCTAATGATTTGCATCAGCTCCAATAGAGGACAAGAGCATGTAGAAGTTAATTGGCCCTCCCATTCCTCACAGCTCTGAGGATTTTAATTTCCCTCCTGAGGAAGGCTGAGACAAGCTGTAGAGTATTTTAATCAATACCTGTAGAGTTTCAGTGGATCACAGATGGTCTGCGCAGCTGTGATAGACCCTCCTATTGTGGTCTGTGAAGGTCATGCCTTTCAGTAACTGCAAAGTGAGAATTTTATTCAAATATACTTGTTGAACTTGACAGATGGACATGCAAATTGTTGCTCTGTATAGAATGTGATTTCCAGTTATTGGGCATGGTCTATATTTAATGCAGTGTTGTTATTGTTAACTAAAATGATTAAATCATTTTTTTGTTAATTAACATTAAGCTGGAATAAAATAAAATGATGAAAATGTTTACTTAAACTTTAAAAATAAAATTAGAAATGTTGCTTTGGGAACAAATTGAAATAAAATAAGTTTAATTTGAAGTACTAAAATTATTGCTAAAACTGAAATAAAAATAAATTGAAGCTAAATATTAATCAAAAAACTAATATAAATGACAAGCACATAAAATGCCTAATACTTAAACTAAAATAAAACTGAAAATATAAAAGCATATGGTAATTTAAAAGATTGAAATATAAATAATACTAAAACTACGCTGGTCTTATGAACTTGACTGAATAAAAATGTCATGATGAGCTTTTTTACTCGTGTACTAAAAACCTAAATCTTCATACTGCCTTTCTAGGAGAAGCGTGTGGCGAATGACAGGAAACCAGCTAGTCATCGTGGTGACCAGGGCCCAGAAGAAAAAGAGTCTGGTCTGCCTCATGGTGAGAGTCCCCCCCACAGAACCGGATCGGGCCGGCTGAGCAGAGGTGTCCAACGCGGCGGAAGAAGAGAGCCTCGTTCAAACAAAGGTGAACCATGGTCGGAGAGGCAACCTCAGGATGGTGAAGGTGGAGAGGGTCCAGCTCGTACTGAACGCTCCTCTAGAGGAGGGTGGAGAGGAGGAAGAGGTGGAGGAGGAACACAAGGAGGATCAGGCTCGGACAGGAAATCAAAGGTCACTACTGACGGTCACCAGTGACCTTTTCTAATCATTTTGTTATTGAGATATTGTAGAACATTGTTGTGGTACATTAATTTATTTACAAAGTAATTTGTGGGTGTGTAGGACACAATAAAATATACAGAAATTAGGACATACAGTTTTAGACACTAGCATCATAATCTACAAGCCATTTTAATCGGAGTTGATATCCAATTTCTCAGGAGTGGGAGGAAAAAAGAAGACAGAACATAGAGAAGATGAATGAAGAGATGGAAAAGATTGCTGAATATGAGAGAGGTCAAAAAGTATGTTTTGGTCAACCCAACTTTCTCTTTTTAATGTATCATTCTAGTGTCAATCTGATACACGTGCACATTCACACTTAACATGTATCTTTTGCAGACTGATGGAGAGAAGAACCCCATCAGAAACTTCCTTGATGACCCACGGCGTAATGGGCCGATACTAGAAACTGACCGCAAGGAGGGAAGCCGGCGTCACGTGCGCAACTGGGGTGGAGTTGACTTTGACAATGTGAAGACTGGTGCCGAGGTTGAGAAAGAATGGACGGTACGAAGCACATTGATTTGTTTGTTTTCGTTTAAACTACAAGACAAGTACTCTACTGGAATTAAATTGTTCAAATGTGTCATGAAAGACATTTATAATGTTACCAAAAAAAATCTATTTCAAATCATTCCTGATATTTAATTTTTTTCAAATAATCCTGGAAAAAAAATTGTCCAAGTTTCCACAAAAGCAGAACTGTTTTCAATGATTATGGTAAGAAATGTTTTTAAGCACCAAATCAGTACATTAAAATGATTTCTGAAGGATCATTTGACACTGAAGACTGGAGTAATGGCTGCTGAAAATACAGCTTTTCCATCATAGGAATAAATAACATTTTAAATTATATTAAAATAGAAATCGGATATTTTAAATTGTAGTAATATTTCACAATTTGGCAGATAAAACCTTACCAACCCCATGGTTGTGTAATGGTATAGACCAGAATATTATTTATACTTTCAGACTTACTTTCTCTCTTTTTAATCCCATAACAGAATCGTAGGCCAAGCGGTAAAAGCTCAGTGGATATGACTCTGTCCATGACTGGCCGAGAAAGAGCCGAGTATCTCCGCTGGAAAAAGGAGCGAGAGCAGATTGACGAAGAACGACTGGCTCGTCACCGTAACGCCACTGGCCAGTGGAGACGAGAGTGGGATGTCCAGAAAACAGATACAATGTGAGTATCAAAAACATAAATGTTCACTATTGTAACTATGAATATGCCATAGAGCTATGGAATCCTTAAAGGGCTAGTTCATTAAAAATGTTCATTCTGTCATATTTTACTCACTCTTATTTGGTCCAAAACCCATATGGCTTACTTTCTTCTGTAGAACACGAAAGTAGACATAAATACTACACATTCACTATATGGCAAAGAGAGGCCAGTACTTTGTTTAACATTTTTCCTTTTGTGTTGAGCAGAAGAATGTCATGAATGGCATCAGTGAGATTATGCCTATAATATTAGCTCTAACAATTTTATTTCTGTGTTAAAAAGAGAGACAGATAAATACTCAGTGTATAGGAGTAATTCATGCTGACAAGGTGAGAATGAGACGACCAGTGACCCTGTGGCGTTTTCACAGGTTCAAGGAGGACTCAGCTGTGGCTGGAGAGGGCACACAAGAACAAAGCAACAGGAGAGGTAAATCACACACAAATACTTCCACACCCATCACAGTGACCACCTGACACCTGTTCTACACAAACCATGAATTTCACCCCACATTTTTAGAGTGCCTATTACTTCATACAGCCAGCCAATAGACTAATACTCCAGCAAAAGCATAGAGTAGTTACAGGTGCACGTTTATACACATTTATTACATTTTATATTACATTTATTACACTTTGTGAAACTGTCTTTGTGGCTCTTTGGTGATGTTTTGTGCTGTGGTTTCTCAGCAGCTAGGGGGCGCAATGCCCAAGTACAGCAACGCAGTGGACCTTCAGGTCAGCTTAAGGCATGGGACTGTGTGGGTGGGGGGTAGGGTGGGTGTGGGGGTGTGGCGAGTGTCTCTTTACCCTCCTTCACAGTTCACATTGGCCCTAGTCTGAGTGCAAGCCAACAGCCATTCCTGCGCTGATAGTTTCTAATAATAAGTTACAGTGGGAGTGTGTGTATCTGATTGGATTATCTATTATCTAAAATACAGTTTGCTGGATAGCTGAGATAACATTTCCTCATCATTGCTTTCTGCCAGTTGCCCATCCATTATTTCAAACTTGCTTCCCAGTCATTTTGCTGAGCAGAAAACATGCACCTGGCAACTCCTTGCATTCTTGACTTGAGTGACCTTTTACTCCTTAAAAACTCGCAGTAAATGCAACACTAGCAACAGAAAAAATGTTCCTGTGGCCTGCTACATGAAGCTAGCTGAACACACTCTGAGTTTCGGAGTAGGTTTTGAGTTAACAATACCAAACAAATCCAGTCTGGTTTAGATCAGGTTCAGTGGGCTCACAACGCTCGATATAAACATTCTCTGTCAACTCAAAGTTTGATCCAGAGTTTGTGATCAACTCTGGAATGCGTGCACCTGAAAGTGTGACAAGTGCAGCAAACAGGCTGTCACTCGGAGCATGGAGAGCATCGGTTTGATTCACTTCTTGCGAGAGTCTGCGCAATTCAGATACAGGGGGAGTGGCTTTATTGCATTGGATATATGTCACTTTGCTCAAAGCTGATTGGTCTAGTTTGGTTTTGCAATCTCTAACCCAGAATAAAACCTGCTCCAAAGCAAGGTAGTCGTGTAGCGCAAGTTACCATGGCGACGAAACCTGCTCAAAACCAACCCACCTTCTTGAGCCCGAAAACTCGCAAACTTACCTGGGTAAAAACAACAGGCCTCAGGACACTCTAATTTTGGCTAATTAGTGGTAAATAAGTTTGTAAACAGTTCTTTATCTTAATGATCCTTTAGCACACATTATATATATATATATATATATATATATATAGGGGTGGGTGGGTGTATAGGTGTATAGTTTTGTTACAGAATTAGTCTTAAATTTTCAACATTTGCAGTAAAAATGATGCCCTGCATCCTCTGGGATGTTTTAAATGAGGACATCAGCACAGCACCTAAAATAAAATGTTGTATTAATTTTTTCACTTTGGTGCTTTCTTTTGGGTACTTCTCAGTTCAATCCAGCAAAACTAAATGTCCTAATCAAAGATGTGTTCTGTTATGTTCAGGATTGTAGCATACTACCAATTGGCTTATACTCAAACGACAATCCCCTGCTAAGGCACAATCCTCTATCTATGATCACTCTTTCCCTAACATTGTAATTTTTACATTACATTTTTCTCCTGAATATTGATATTCAAAAGCTGTCGCTCATAACAAACCAAAGTGCATCTTTTGCATTGAAGAAATTCTTGCTGCTTTTGATACATGCTCATTTGCTGATGTCTTGACTTTGAGTGCCTTACAAACCCAGTGTCTACCTCACAACGTTCAAGTCAAATCTCATCACAGTGCTGTCAAATCAAGGGCACATTTGCATGTTTTTCTCATCCATTCCCCTCCTCTCATCCTGAAAAGTGATGCATAGGGCAATCCATCAGAATGACAGGGGGCCATCTATTACTGTGAGCCCAGGGTCATCTCTCTCCACCACAGATTTCAGACGCAGAATTATTTTCCAAGGTCTTGCTCAGCCCCACGTCACCCTTCAAGGATAAATATTGCTGTAATCTCTCTTATGCAGAAGATAGCAAGAAGCCGCCCAAGGCACCAGCCTTCGGGGACTTCATGGGACAGGGCAAACCCAGACGGGGAGGCCGTGGACGAGGGAAGGGTCGCGGTCAAAGCAAAAGCTACAGGTATGCAATAGTCCTTTGAATTGTGGAGAATGATCCATCTTTCAGGACCACACCAGCATTGAGCAGACGAGTCCAGTCCTGCTCCTGAAGGGCCACTATCCTAATTAAACACGTCTGAACCAGCTAATCGTAATCTTCATGGATTACAAGAAATTTCAAGTGTGTTTGGGCCAGTTGGAGCCAAACTCCGCAAAACGTTGGCCCTCCAGGAGCAGGATTAGACATCAGTGTTCTAGCGATCTTATGATATGACTTAACTAGACCGGTTTTCTTTCCTGTGTTGATGTCCTATTAAAACAGGTGGAATTAGACATATCAGCCCTGCCCTATAAAGTCCACGCTTGGGAACTTGATTGTCTCATGCAGGACACTAATGGCGCTTTTCCACTGCATGGTACGGCACGGTACGGCTCGGTACGGTTCACTTTTGGGGGGTTTTCCACTGGGTACAGTACCTGGTACTTTTTTTTAGTACCACCTCGGTTGAGGTTCCAAGTGAACCGTACCGTTACCAAAACGTGACGTGTAAACTCTGCTGATCACGGATTGGCCGGAGAGAATCGTCACTACCTGCGTCACTGAACTTGCGTCACTGAACTTGCGACACAAACACAACAGAACCGCTAGATTTAAATCAGCACAGCCAGCGAAGGATCGAACGCAACTGTTTTGAACAAGCGCACCTTTTTTAACAACCAAAAATTGTTTCGTTGTCTGTTGAGGAAGTACAAACGTTCCTCTCGTTGAGCAGAGGAGTGGATCCAGCGAGAGCTTGATGGGGCGATGCAGAATGAAAATGTTTTTCAGGAGTCGCGGCAATAGAGGCGGCGCATCTATAACGACATGTGAATAATCCCGCCCACTCTAAAGTGGTACTGAACTGCAGTGGAAACGCAAACCGAACCGAGCCGTGCCGAGTCGCCATAAGTGACCCTTATATGCACCATTTTTGATGGCCCCATTAAAGAGTTTGTTCCTTTTTCTAGTAGCCACTAGGCTTTAGTTATGTTCTCTAAACGTTGGCCCAGTTTCCACCTGGTAGTAAGATGCAGTTTCTGTAATCTGATCACAAGTAGTCAGACAAGACACATTACAGTTTCCACCTGGTATTAACATTTGTTTTAAATGCATCTGAAGGAGATCAACCTATGTTACTCGGGTTAGCAGGAAAGGAAGCGAATGCAAAGTATGAAGGACTACATATGTGTGTTTGGTACAAAGCAGCAACATTTAAATCGCTTGTTTTGGTGTGTTCTCACATTGTGAGAATGATCACCATTTCCACTACAACATCACATGTTTTTGACTACCTCCATATGTGGTTTCCAGGATCCAATTTAAAAAAAAAAAAGGTTTTAGACCCAATTTCTACCTGTATTTAGCGTCACCACTTGTGATCAGATCACAAAAACGCATCTTAATACCAGGTGGAAACAGGGTTTATGATTTGATGCCTGTTATTGCTGTTTGGCATTATAGGTAGAGAAATTTTCATTCTAGGGAGCATTTCATGAATTAATATTCATTGACCAACATCCTTCCTTCCTAAAGCATGCATGATAATCGGTGGGAAGGGGAAAATGAAGAGGAGAAAGGAAGAAAGGAGGAGCAAGAGAAGGAGAAGGATAAAGAGAAGGAAAACGAGAACAAGGATGGCACCCTCAAGGCTCCATTGTCGGACAAGGTAAGAGGCCTGAAAACACTGAGTATCATGGTACTAAGAGTTCTTTTGAAGAGCCATATGAGTGAAGGTTGCTTTTAATTAGTCTGAGTTTCAATTGTTCCTGACCTTCTCCTGCTGTGCAGAAGTCTGATGAAGGAGGCCTCGCTGAAGAAGATGATGATGAGTGGGAGGATGCCAGCGATGGTGAACAGGAAGATGTGGAAGAGGATGAAAAAGCAGATCACGAGGAAGACTCAAAAGATGCTAAACCAACAGAAAAGACCCCTACCTCTCCTGCAACCTCTACTCCCAGCCCAAAAGAGCAACGTACCCCAAGACCCAAAGTCCACATCCCTTCCCCACAAGAGACACTCAGTACACCAGAGGGACCCAAACCGCACAGCCCTTTCTCCCCGCTGGACGGTCACCAGCCTGTGTCAGACTGGGGTGAAGAAATGGAGATGCTTTCTCCTAAGAGCAGTCTGGGCGAGAGCCCTCTGAGGCCCAGCAGCACTGAAAGCAGTCCAGCTCAACCTAAGAGCAATCCAGCTGAACATAACACGGATACCACCCCCAGCCAGCCAGAAGAACCAGAAAGAAAAGAAAGTGCATCTACAGGTGGGATAATTATGGTCTTTATTTAGTACATCACAGTTTCTCTTTTTTGCAGTGTTTGCTAAGATCTGGGTATGCTTCGTTTTTCCATCTGCCATTATGTCTCACACACAGTCAAGTGTTCTAGCATTTTAACCTAGACTCCACTGGCAGTAACTTGTTCAGACGGATGATGTATATGCACTACGACTGTAATAGTCCTCCTGACCTGAAGAGGACAGCACTGAGTTGTTTTCCTTATACTGTTTCAAAGTGGAGTTGTACAAACGCGGGTACTTTTTGACCTCCTCGCATATCTGTTGCTGTTGTCTATACCTTCATCTTCCATTGTTTTTATTTCCGTTTTCTGATACTTTCTTCTATTGGTTCTTGCAAGCAACAACCCATCTGTTAGCGTTGCCCCCTAGTGGAGCCAGTTCCATGCATGTGCACCTACTGATGACAAAATTATAATTATAATTAAGTAATGCATAAGACATTGTGGCAAACAAAAAATTAAGCATACTTTAAAGTTTTACCAACTGCATAGTAACACACTATATATACACACATAGCAAATCTAAAAACTAAAACTATTAAAAAAATTGTTAATTGAAATGAAGCAGAAATTAAATAAAATATAAATATTAGATGAAAAACGTTTGTCAGAGTGACTTTGTTATCTTAGTAGTGAAACCTAAGTGTCTTTTCACATTCAGTGGTGGAGTCAGCTTCCTGTGAAACACAAAAGGAGCCGGTACCAGCTGAATCTGCTGACACAACCACCTCGAGCAGCCATGACACAGGAGATCCTGTAGTGCCGCCCACCACAGACAGCGTCAACCAGAGCAGTAAGTCAAAACAATTAATTAACACACAAAGTTTGAATTATGATTTCCTCCAAATGAATCATTAATTGTACTCTCCTATATATCCTGTTTATTCTCTGATTCAGAGGACAGCGACGCCCCCACTATAGAGCTAGATCAGAGTCAGCCTGAAACTAAGGTTGGGGAGGAAACAGTAGTGGATTCTTCAGATCAACCCTCCTCAGGTGCTGTTCTTATTACCAGCTTTGAGACTGTGGAATTTCGAAAGAAATCCCTTACTTCAGCTGACTTCTAACAACTAACCGATGTCCTCCCCTTTTCTTTGCACACTTCAGTCTTTCTGGTCTCTCTGTCTCTCCCTCCCTGTTCACTACACTCATGTCTCCTTTACGTTCCCGTGTCCATCTGTCTCATGACATGAGATGGCATCTGCTGTTGAGCTTGTTTCTATCGTCTTTGACAAATGAGAATGCAGCTCCTCAGGTTATGACAGTCCTCCCCCGCCTCTGGGACTGACTGCTTCTGTCTGCAGCTTCACATTTGCTGTCATTCTCCACTGTGAACCTTGTACACCTCCTCCAGCATGACTAAAATCCCACGTTTATTGTGCTCCCGGATCCCCTCATTGTCGTTCATGCACCTCTTTGATTTCACACCTTTCCCTGGATGACATGTTTGGATTTGGGTTATGGCTTTTTCCCCTTTCATGCATGTCACAAACTGCTTGAGCAAATAAGTGTTGTTTTGATTTTTATTCCATTTTTGCAAAAGCATATATATGTGTGAGTGTGTGGACTGCAAACTGTAATGATCTATAACATCATCCCAACAGGATCCCATTGGATCGCCGTTTAGGATCATTATCATTGAGGGGAAAGCAGCTTGCAGAGATGAATTACACAGGGTAAACCTAATGTGGTTCCAGAGACTGTATAGCATCTTATTAAATTTCTTCTCATTTTAATGTTTATCATGTATGAATGTTTATCAAGCCACACAGAATGAATGTATCAAGTTCACCAGAGTGCAAATGAGGGTACTTTTTTTTTTTAATAAATAAAATCCATTGTTTATTCATATAGACTTAAAAATAAATCCTCTGAGATGATCAGGGTTTCCGGCGGTTTTATCAAACCTGGAAATATCAGTAATTTTTTTAGAATGATGCTTACCAGGTCTAGAAAATGAATAAAATCTTAAAAATCATGGACATTTGTGAATAATCTTCTAGTTATGCTCTGTTTAAAATTATTTCATAAGATAGACTTTTTACTGGAGTCTTTTTACTCATTTTAAATAAAAGATTTGATATGTGACTGGTTTGGATGGGTGTATGGTGGCCCAGAAGGCATTCAAACCGCATTCAAATCTCATTTTATGTGTTACTTGCTATCTGACATAGACTTAAATATGCCACAGTAATCTCATTAAAAAGATTTTTAAGATTCCTTATCCAGTAATAGTGAACAACTGGAAATGTCATGGAAATTCATTGTTTAAAAGAACCCAGGATTACACTCATTTGCAGAGCAAAGAGGAAAAACAAAACCAGCCCAAAATTATGAAAGAAAAATTAAATATGGTGGCTTTTATCCTCATCTGTTTGTTTTTTCTAAAGTCTGAAATTTGAATCATCTCTCCTTTTTATTGCCCTTTTAAGTTGCGGTCACATTCACCAAATCCAGTCATCTCAGTAGGAATCCACGCAATCTAGAATTTAGTGTGAAGGCAAAGTATTTGCCCACACAGATTTCACAATGGGTTTAAGTTGGTCATGCAAATTTGCCATGTTGATCAAAGCAAAGCGGCTTGGTTTGATTAAGAAAATGACTTGTGTGAGTGTTGCTTCATACATCTCTCCACTTTTGACAATAGACAGTGGACCTTTAGTTTCTGTGAAATTTTGACGAAATATCACTGATGTGACTGCACCTTAGTTTGTAGAAGCTACTCTGTGTCTGTAGGATTTTTACTTATACAAGTGATGAATTTGTAGTTTATACTCTTGAGATTTGGAACCGTGCTGGAATGGCGAATAAATGTTGTGCTGCTTATTACTTCTGATTGTCTCCCTTTCCCTTTTGAATTGAGGAACCACTCCTAAGTGTTTTGTGTTTCATGAATGTTTGATGTCACATCCACTCCATTGCCAAAGGCTCAACCCTGTCACTCAATCATTTGGGATCTCTGTCCTTCTCCACCTGCTTCTGCTTATTGCCATTACATCATACCAGTTTATTATGCAATTAACTCCTCATTAGCAACTAATGTGTGGATGTGATTTCTTGCCAGTTCCCTCATTCAGATTTCCATTGTCCACATGCACCCTGGAAACATAAACTAATGGCTCAATAACAAGATTCTTGTATTTCCTTTAATTTGATCACTCTTCTACGTTTAGCCTGTTTAACAGGAGGAAACATCCAGGAAAACATTTTTTAGTGCTAAAAATGTTTTTATGAGAAAACTGCAGTCGGCTTTCAGATCAGGGGGCAGTTGCATAAACTTAGCCTCTGGGGTATTCAGTCTTATTTTGGGATTCAAGTTAGACTAATGTATGCTTTTATGTAACTGAATTAAAAAAAATTATGACCAGTTTTAAAGAAAACAAACTGAACCTTAAACCTTATATGCAACTGGCCCCAGAGCGGTAATGAAACCCTTAGAAAATCCAATGCATTTTTTTGTCTTGAAACAGTACATACTTTTTTGCTCTTTTTGTCAGACAAACCATCTGAAATGGTGGTTTAGAATCTGCTTCTACTTATTATATCACTCATACTGGGTGTTTTCATGGTAATGTTTTCATCCTGACTGCTTTATATATATCAACAGACTGAGGACTAAATGCAGTAGGTGAACTCGTTGCTTCACAAACTGGAATAGGAGGTAAGAAGAGGAAAGAGAAGACAAATAACCTGCTCTGGGGCAGGTTATGTTCTGGTTTAGAGATCTCAAAGCGAAATTTGACCAATCCGCTTCAAGCCAAGTGACTCATGTCTGACACAATAAAGCCACTCCCCCAGTTTCTCTTACTCCAAATTAAAGGATGATACATAGTAAAACATTTTTAAAGATAAAATTGTCTGAATTTAGAGATGATGATTTTTTTATAATTATTTTATGATTTATATAATTATTGTACCATTAATCCATTACACAAGCTAGCTTAGTTTAATAGTAATTAAGCTTTTATTTTAAATTAATATAAACATATAGATAATATGCAATATAAATACGTTTTAGAAACTAGCTTTAAACATGATTACATATGAACTTAGATTTGTAAGTTTTTTTTATACCTATAAATATGATCAACTCTATGAACTAACTTTACAACTTTTACTTGCACTTATAAGACAAGATGTTTTCTTTAAGTTTTCCTCTTTCATGGATAGATAATTTCATCTTGTAAATGTGTTTAAATTCTTCATATTGTTCAGTATTTTAATCTTTAGTAGTGAATTGCACTGACTTTCTCTCAAGAAGTGTGTTACAGTTTCAAGGCATCTGATTGGCTGTTCATTACTGATGTCACTCTTTCATGTGCACGTGCTCCATTAACTCAGGATCAAGCCTGCATTGACAGAAAGTTGATGATCAGCATCATGGTACCAACAAAGCTGGATTGGACTGGTTTGGTTTTGTCAACTCAAAACTAATCCTGTAACCCTGCGTTTGTTCAGCCACCATCATGGTACAGGCTCCAGGTGTAATGGACGACTGTTGACTGTAAATTAAAGAGGTCGAGGGGGCATCTTTGGATCCCTGTCAGCGCTTCATCCAAACAACGTTCTGTATTGTTTAATTATTCCTCATTGCTTGGGACTCTATGCTGTTGTCGAGCTAAGCTGCTGCTCTTTTCTCACATTTACCCTGGGATCAATCTGTAAAGCATGTTATACTCAAACCATGAGAATATTTTTTGATGATGGAGCAGTCTTGTTTAACCACCCTAGACCACAAGGACACACATTTTTGGCACAACAGCACTCAGATATATGATATCTGAGCTCAAATGTATCTTTGAAGGTCGATAAGGAACATATAAAGATGTATTTATTGCTAAGAGTGGCATGCTTCACTTTTGCAATCCCTTTGTAAACTAGGGCATTTTTTTTTCAGAGCTACTTTTGAAATGAAGATGAGCTGTGGATTTTAAGTTTTCTATAAACAATTGGTACCCTAGACATGTGCTCACTGACCAAAGATAAAATCATGGTGAATTGTAAAGAGTTTGAATGAGGAAAACTAAACAATTGGGACAGCAGAGATTGTGTACCTAATTGCTATCAAATCTAATATTGGTTTATTGACCATTTTTTTAATGTTTCTTTAGTAATCCTATGCATTAATCGCAGATGTATTTGTGTGTTTCTGAATTTGAATGAACCGAGCAGGAGCTTGAAAACTTGCAATATATGTATGTGTCTTTTAGACTGACAGACGATCCAATGCTTTGTGTGAGTGCTTGTTTCTCTTTACATGTGCATTGTATAACGGAGCAGAAATAATCATGACATTTGTGATTGTAACATACCTGCTGCATCTCCCTGCAGATGAAATGTCTTCCTGTTTGGGTAGAAAATTTATATATAATTGGGTTTGCCTCTTGTAGGAGGTTTGGTTTGGCTTTTCAGAAGTGCACATAGCATGATACTGAAGTGTTTGTAGGATTTTCCTCCAAAATGTTCTTCTAAGATTACATGCTATTTACTTTTTTTTTTTTTTTTTACTTACTGGAGATATTTCTTGGTTACTTTTATCACTGTATTATCATATGTGAACCGTAAGCAGTGTAACCGTTTCTGTACTTTGTAAGCTGTCATATCAAATAAATGACATCTTTGCCTTATGTATTGATTCATATTTGGCTCGATGTTGTTTTTTGGAAGACCAGGGTAATCAGACTTTTTTTCAATGTTACTGGTATATCGGATTTTGGACTTTTTAGAAAAAAAATATAAATGTGTTAGCACTAATAATTCATAATGTAAAAGATGATACATTTTACTTATATAATAAAATGTAAATATGAATATATTATAAATTCTTGGTATAAGATAACTGATTACTTAATTGTTAACATTTACAGTATATTTGTGTTGTCTTTTAAAATATTACAATAAAGTGATTTACAGTTAAGCAAGTATTACTGTAGCACTCTTTCACATTATTTTCCTACTAAAATTACTAACCATTTTCCAGAGTACATTACTGAAAATGAAAAGATAAACTCAAAAGGCAATTAAATTCACTAATATATTTTAGTAGTCAATATAAAATAAAATGTCATATCTAATATAACAAAGCTAGTACTGCCTTTGACTCATTTCTGTACAAAACTAGTATTTCCGAGTCTTATAGCCTAATAATATAAATGATAATATGAATTTCCTAATGACATTTTATCTGAATAATTAATAAAATAAGGTATTTCCAAATCCTAATTTCTGCAAAGAGTCTTTGCATAATATAGAAGAATTTGTTCCACAAGAGATGAAGCCCACCAATGGTGGAAGACTCCGCCCAGTGTTCAATTAAGTGTGCATCTCTGAGGCTCGAGAATCACTCTGATGGTGCAGGAACAATCCAGTTACCTGAATCAGGGCATTCGCAGCAGACCTCTCAAAGCCTCCGAGAAACACACACTGACCGCTGGAAATATCAGGAATATCCGTCATCTCAGAATGAGAGGAGACAAACCCGTCAGCACCGGCAGGACAAACGGAGGAGCGGAGCGAAGACCGAGTTACCTCGGAGACCAGAGGGTGAAACACGCGAACAGAGCCACGAAGATTTGGGTGAAAGTGGCGATGGGCATCGCTTACTTTCTCAGTGTTTCAATTGCAGCTTTCTTCTTAGCCATCTACTACGTGCTCTTCTGGACCCCAGACAGTCACAACAACGCCACGAAGACAAACGGCTCGTGCCTTCGCGGATAGTTCACAAGGACAGACACTGCTTCTGGATTCAATCACGTGTAACTGAAAGAAGCTGTTACAGATGTTTCTAATGCACTATGCAAGATGTCCCCAACACAGCACATTTATCAGTGCGAATGTCCTTCTGCTCTGACTTTGCTTATTTAAAATGAGCGACTGATAATTTTATTTAATAAGTATTATATTGTGATTTATTTTCCTATTGCACCTTATGTTAAATGGCAATAATAATACGGGATTTGTTATTGTTTTATAGTAGCCTATTTGAATAACAATGGGGTTTTGTTGTATTAGTTCACTTTGCAATAATCTGCATATTGACGTTTGGCTTATGTAGCAAATTTTGAATAATTTCCATATTTAAATGTTAACGTTATTTTCAACTGAAAAGGAAATTGAGTTAAAATGCTATAGTAATCATATTAACTAAGTTACTTTACTGTATATGTTAAAAAGAAGCCTATAATTTTATATAAATAGCACAATTATACTGTAAAATAATGTAAAATCTATATTATACACGATACATTTACTCCTTTAAAGCAAAATATTGCAAGTAAAAACTAGGCACCTTATAACAAATGAAAAAAATTGTACAAGGATGTTCCAAAAACCTCTGCATGACACATTTTTTACTTCAAATCGTTACATTTCACAATATTTTTTAGATTAGGGTCATCATTAGGGTGTTTTATGATACATTTTATGTTGTTCAGTTAATTTTAATTGCTTTATTTTATTTCTGTATTTGTGGTGTTTTGCTTTTTTATGATGGAATATAAATCTTTAGTTATGTGGGATATAAATGTATGTATTTATAACCTCCATACGGGAATCTGGGCCCTTTTCCATTTTAAAATAACATCTAGAAACTGTTGTGGACCTCCATGGATCTTTCACTTCACAAGCTCCGGCTCTGGCTACAGTCTCAGTTTAGTTTTAGTTTAATTTATTTATTTGGAAAGGGACCATATACAATATTTAATGTAAATGTTTCCGTTTAATGCACTGTACCAGATTTAGCCGGCTAACTTTCATCCACATTAAGAGATTGTTGCTTTGTGTGATCTTTGCTGACTGGACTTCAAAACCAAAGTCACCAGAATTACTATTATTTTACCCTCTTTGATTGTAAAAGTTGAGTGAGGAAAAGGTTCTTTGAGGTCTGTTCTTGAGTGTGCATTACGTGATTGGTTCTCTTAAAGTAACCTCTTCTGTCTTCCTGCAGTTGAATGTTATTTTATATTTACATCATCTTTGTGCAGTTAATCTGCCAGTTTTAATGGGAAATTACATAGGCTATATGGTTCACTCACCAGATAACTCATAACAAATGATTTATGACTAGAATTTTTACAATGAGTGTTAGATATGTCTGTCTTAGCTTTCTGTAATGGACAGTTATAATTACGATTTGATTATGCTGTCTCTCCTAATTAGAGCAGATTGGATGTGATGATAAGAACATGCTGTATTTTACCATACAGTAAATCAGATATGGATTTACGGCCAACCTGTTCTATTTTTGCAGAAATGTGAATTAGCAAGCTCAAGGAGGAAGTGAGAAACTGCAATTAGCACCATGGTCGTAGTCCACATGTTATTGTGTAAGAGAAACTCAGACTGTGTTGCAAGGAGCTGACAAAATTGGTTTTTAGCAATCTTTTGGCACTCTGCATTTTCTGCATCCATGCCACCTTGGCCTATGTGGCAGATTTGTTGGCTGTTCTCATTTGTTTTTGGAATAATTAGTCGTCAAAAGCAGAGGAAGCAGAGTGGTCATGCTTTGTGCCCGTTTCCACAGCACTGTCCTGTAGGGAGATTAGCTGGGAGTCTTGCCAGGGCTGGATAAGGAGGGTAATTCCCCTATGGCTTGCTGGTCAGGGCTACAATGTGATATAGATGACATTCTGAATGCTTCCTAATGTAGAGGAAATTCATTCCAATTATTTTTAAATCAGTGAAGTTCAAACAAGGCCATTACCTAGTGCCAGGACTGCGGCTCTCTAGGACCGAACTTGCCTACCCCTGACCCAGTGTAATTGTGTCTAGCGTAACATTCCCACCTCGCCAGCTTCTTCTGCAAAGATATTTTGATTGTTGGCCTCCTGATGATGAATGGGTTCTTAAATTTCCTAAACTTTAATAAATGCTCCGAGAACACTAGCTACACAGAGACCCAAAACTTTAACATACACTTATTTCTGCCATGATGCCCATTTCCACCACATAAGAAAAAAACATGCTTTGGTAAATCATATTTAAAAGTTTAAAAGTCAAAGTTGTGACACACATCTCGAACAAGCCTAATGTCATAATTATGACATCATATATCAGTTATGCCAAATATTTAGATTTGTCCATTTTTACCTCATATTTTCAAGTGTTGTCAAAACTTTGACTTTTTATGCTATAATTATGGTTTACCAAAGCATGATTTTTATCTATGTTGTGAAAATGGGATTTTCATACTCAGAAGTTATGTGAACACTTGTGCCAATTTAATGTTTTTTAAATCCACAAGAGGGCGATGTAATACCATACCGTTTCAATAAAGACAATAAAGTGTAGAAATTAACTTGATATATTTAACTTATATTTAACTTGACTATATTCTGTTTCTGACTTTTTAATTACATATAACTAATTTACATCTAGAAGAACATAATGTAGTAATTTAATAAGGTATCCAACATGGGAAATCAATATATGATATTTAAAACAAACCTATTGAAAATGCATTCATCAATCAACACAATATTAAGTTAATTCACAATCAATATTTTGTCATAAAAATAAATTATTTGACTCAACTAACTGAATAATTGTGACTTGTTAAACAAGCCAAACCAAGACAAAAAAAAAACAACTTGGCCCAAGTTTGGAATGACAAACTTTAAAATATTTAGCTTATAGGTCTACCTGAACAAACTTAACAAATAAATAAATACATAAAAAATAAACTAAAAATAAATTACTTAATATTTAAAATACATTCACACTGTATATAGCTAGGTCTGCTTTAAATAACATTAACAGAAATTCTAGCAAGATTGTTAGAATAAATGATTGAATGAATATTTCAATTTTGGGGATTTTTAATTAGGGTTGGTCTTCAGATACCAGTGCCTGCAGATCTGTCTCTGAGTCTCCTCTGAAAAAAGCCTCAGCTCTGGGTAAGTGTGTCACCGCTGTGTCCCAAATACATTTGATGTGGTGTGTACATAATTCTGATTACACTGTACAAATACATGAAAATAATTCTTGTCTGATTTAGAAAAATGTGCATGGCTAGACAGGCTGAGATTGTACCTTTCCATTCTTTCAAGTCCAAGGAAGTTCTCACTGCCCTTCTCCAGAAAGCAATGGTTTTGCACACCTTTGTCTATGAATCATATGTCTTCTGCTGTTGAAGAAGAAATTTCGGCATCCTCAACATCCTCACTGGGGACCAGCAGATTCATCTGAGATTCAAAGGCTGAGTGAGGAACCATCTTAGGTGTCATCCATCTCCAGAAGCTGCTATTAGTGCACAGCACTGAATCTAAGTGACATGATGGTCCTTTCCCCATCCAGGCAGGGAGAAATCCAGCTTTTGATGCAAAAGCTGGGTTTTTATTGACCTGGTAAGGGATTGCCAGCTGGGCGGATGGCGGAAAGTCACTGTTGGGATATTTTTCGTGTCCTCTGAGCCATTTCTCTTCATCATGTTCCAGTGCATAAGGGTTGCAAATCACAAGTTCAGTCTGAAACAAATCACACACACTTTGTTTACCCAGCAAACGCCTGAGGCCTCTGGGAAAAGCACCACAACAAATTTTAGGTCTGTTTTCTGGTTGCCAGCTTGATAATTTTTCCACTGAGTCTGATTGTGTGACCTTTCCATGTTTGTCTTTTATTTTCTGTCTTTTGAACTCTTTCAACAGGAACTGAACCACATCACCATGGTGCTCCTGAGTGGCATAGTCAAACGGACGTTTGCCCTCATTGTCAGGGGTGTCTGTTTGAGCACCACTGAGTACCAAAAGTCGTACAGCATCCAGGTATCCGTGCTGACTCGCCAGGCTCAGGGCGGTTCGGCCTGCCTCGTCCCGTCGCTCTATATCCACCCCGAGCCTGAGGAGCAGCTGCATGAAAGAAGTGCGCGTGCTGGAGTGTGTCAGTTCAGCGGCGCACATTAACAGAGTGCGGCCGGTCACACCTTCAGTCTCCACACAGGCATTTACCGCACCATCTCCCAAGGCCACAAGGATGAAATGCGCAAGCTGTACCTTCCCTTCCCTCATAGCTTGCAGAAATATCCCTTCTCTGGACCATAGTTCAGAGTGGTCGCCTGATTGCTTTTTAATATAATCAAATATATTCATGTCGTCTGTGTGCCACCCTTGGTTGTGTCTTTCTGGGCTTTTGAATTGTCTGCGTGCTTAATAACTAACAAATTGATTTGGTAGACAGGCCTTCAGGCCAACCTCCTCTTTCTCTCGGCCCCTCCCTGCACTGATATCCTCTTTCCATAAACAGCTCGATATTGCGTTTTGGCCTGCAGTTCGACCACATTGTTTGTTCTGTTCATGCCCCATATTTCATGTGCTCTGATTCTCTTCTATTCAGGTGAGCTGTCTACTGTCTGTGGCAGAAGTTCACCGCTTGAGTGGTGTTACCATGGGGACAGTGTATCTGACATGAGCGTATTGAAGAGGAAACGAGGGTAGAGAGCAGCTGAGCTGTGTAGAATAGTGTACAAAGAAATGCCCTCGAAATGTCTTACATAATGGGTGTGTATGTGTGTGTGTAGTGTAGCTATTTTAAGGATTTAAAAAAATATATTAAACATATATTTTATAGAAATGTAATGTAAAAATGTAATATTTTAACAATGTTAACGACTCTTTCATGGCTTTGAAATTGTTTTTTTTTTATTTACATAACTTTTCAAACCTAATTTCTAACACATTAGTGTGTGTGTGTGTATATATATATATATATATATATATTTGTGATATTTCAGTTTTTCTTTTTTAATAAATCTGCAAAAATGTCAACGATTCTGTGTTTTTCTGTCAATATGGGGTGCTGTGTGTACATTAATGAGGAAAAAAAATTAACTTAAATGATTTTAGCAAATGGCTGCAATATAACAAAGAGTGAAAAATTTAAGGGGGTCTGAATACTTTCCGTACCCACTGTATATATTATATATCCCCTCCAGTAACTTCATGGACCTCCACTTTTAGTTTTATTCGCTCAATAATTTTTTTTGTATGTTGAGGCTAGATTTATCCGTATCTAGGCTATATGTTTAGGGAAAAAGCATTGGACTCAAGTTTTGAATTAATAAAGCGTGAATAAATGAACATCAAATTTCAGTATTTAAAATTCATAATTCCATGTTTTTTTTTCTTGACTTTGTATGATTTTATTAATTTACTTTTCCAGCCATTTTTTTTTTTATATGTAATATTTTAATATTTGTAAAGAAAATATAATTTCATGGACCCCTAGTTTTAATTTAGAACACTGTAGATTTAGTTTTATTTACAAAATAACCCGTTTTTAATGCTGAATCTAAGATTTGTGTGTAGGCTATCTGTATGTATGGGGGATTAAAGTTTTTTCTTAGGTACAACACGAATAAATGAACAATACACTGCAATATTTAAAACTCATTTTATTTGATAAATTATGAATTTATTCAACCTTTTTGGGTCTCCTCAGACGGCAGAAACTCAGTCCTATAGGGGGCGACAACATGCCCGAGCGCAATTATAACAGCTGACAGACAATCACGAAGAAGTGTTTTGTTGTCATGGCGGTGTTTTAAACTGCCTGACATTTCCTATAAACAAATCTTGATTTTAGCTTCTGTTTACCAACTGTCTGTCATGTTAAAATATAATAACACGGATTTACTCGTCGGTTGTTCATTTATTGTGTGTTTTCGTGTTATTAATCAATTGCTTTTTGCAGTCGATCGGATCAGTCAGTAGAGAATTATTTGCTCTGAGAAAGATTACTCAAGCCGGATTGTTTGAATTTATTACTTCCATCAAGACAGTTCGTAAAAATATTATCAGGATGATTTCAGATTTCCAAAAAAGGTCTGCTATGACCATTGGTGAACTGGGCTCTGTGAGTCTTGAATGGATTCAAAAAGGCTCTGGGTCACATATTACTGGTCTGCAAACACAGGTACTGATACAAGATCGTATTTTATATGTATTGTCCTATATAATGTATTGCTGCATGCTGTATTCTTGTGCATTTGATAAAACTTGAATTTGGTTGTTGATGACCAAGCTTCTCCTGCATTCTTATTGGTTCTGATTCTTCTCATCACAGCTCCAGTTCAATAACACAGTGGCACCCAGTGTTCTTAACCAAGCCACCCGCATGGGGCCCCCTTCTCCCATCATAATAGAGAAACTTATACCCCGTACAGAGAGGCAGGATGATCTGGAGAGCTGCAGCAGCTCCGTACGTCTCTCAGTCCTCTCAGAAGAGCGCCTGCAGGCTGCCATCAGACTTGCCAGGAGAGATCTGCGCAGGAAACACCAGGAATCCATCAGCCATTTGTCACTTGAGCTAGCAGAGAGATCCCAGAATAACAGCCCTGAAAGAAGCAACATAGAGTACAGTCCTCGTGTGGTGCACCCAAAGATGTCAGGTCCAAAGAAGCAATTAAAAGATGGTGCTCAGGTGCTTGTTTATACTCCTCAGGAACCCAATAGCCAACTTAAACAGGGCCAGGCACCCACCAAAGACCTCGACCCGAGAGTCAACAACGGTGAACCTCAGCTCACCCAGGAGATCTGTAAATTACAGAAGGAGCTGAGCACATATGTTCAGAGGATAGAGCAGTTAGCTAATAAAGGTATTCTTCTCATTAATCCTAAGCACCCGTAGGATGTATTTTATATGCTTTTTAAGAGGTGTGCACGTGGGTTTTCTGCAGGACGTGCTGTGGAGGTTCTGGAGTCTGATGAGAAACAAAGGATGGAGATCCGGCGACAGGAGCAGGCAGCCCGTTCCGCACGCGTCATCTATGTGTTACAACAGCAGGTCTGTAAGCACAGCAATTCACAAACATAAAGGTGGCACAGCTATGTACTGATCTTTTAAGAAAGAAAAATCTATATTTTAGATAAGTAAAAAAAAAAAAAAAGGAATTTAAGCTGCCTTTTCACTATCTCTCATATTTATGTACGATTGTCACCCCCAAGTGGAAGTCGCACAGAACTTTCAAATTGGTTGTGAAAATAATGTAAAAGGTTTAAGATTTAAGGTTTAAATGAATGTGTTTAAGGTTTTAAATGAATGAATAATGAATGTATCAATTTATCCACACAAAATAAATTATTCCCAGTACGTTTGAAAGAAAAGTTGATTTTCTAGGCCTATAATTAATGCAAATAATTGCGACGGGAATTCTTAAATAATTATTTTGAACATAATTATTCATAATTCCGCTTATTCACCATGGTAAAATGAATTAATATTAAATGTTTGAATATATCCACACAAAACAAATGACTGCCAATATGTTTGAATGAAAAAAATAGTTTTAAAATATAGTAATACCAAGGGCTAATTATCATAAATAATTATAAAATAAAAATGTAAGACATAATTTTTCATAATTCTGCAATTTCACTATGGTTGAATGAATGTATGAATGAATACTGAATATATGAATATATCCATACAAAACAGGTGACTGTCAGTACATTTGAAAGAAAAGCATAATAGTTTTTAGGGCTAATTAACATAATTGTGTAAGTAATGATTTCAGACATAATTATTCATTACCACCCATTTCACAGATATAGTGCACACATTTAGCTGAGAACGTTCAACTATTTCAGCACACATGATGCTCAATTTGGATCCAAAAATTCTGCATGTAGTCAGAAAATCATGCGAAACCATGCATTCTTGTACATGAATGACTTCTGGTATGTCATTTGTCAGAGATGAAAAGGCGACTTTACAGATCCACATCAGGACAGTTTTGTTGTTCTGTTCAAGGTTAAAGAAATACAGGATGATCTAGACAAGCTGCATTTCCAGAATGTCAAACACAGCAAAAAGGTACCGAAGTCTATTTTGCCCAAAAAATCTAAATCAGAAAGTTTTGAATATAGCTTGATTTTAAAGTGCAAGAATGAGTCATGCAGGGGTTTTAAAAGTTTCTATGGATGTCTTCTCAGTCCAGGGCAATGGACAGACTGGCTGCTGCTCACCGGGGAGCTGTAAGAGCCATGCAGGTTTTTATCAACCAGCTGTTGGACCCTGCAGAGAACAGAGTGCCCACCCACTGCAAAGAGCTGGTGCAGCTGATTCGCCAGCTCTCTCTCTGCTCAGCCAAAGCAGAGGTGGGGCAAGGATCTGCCGTACCAGAGACAGCCCTCGACATCCTGCAGAAATTAGAGGTGATGTACCATATATAAATACAATAAACTTTCAATAAATGTCAAAGCCTTAATTTAATGCTGTTTTGTTTGTGATTGCTCAGACGCTTGACTCAGCACTGAGTAAACAGGAGACAACCAAGAAAAGAGATGTAGATTTGCAAAATGTCAACCCAGTGGAAAAGACTTCTACCAGGGTCAAGGCCTGCAGCATGTCCCCTCCCCATCCTGCTAGAGCACCAGCTGAGAGGACCTCACGAAGACCCCGAAAGCCAGCTGCTGCAAAAAAGCCTGGTGGTGAGTCATGACAACCAAGGTGACGTTCATTTTTCAAAAAGCGTTTTGGTTTTGTTTCTGTCCATAAGTTCAGTGACCCCATAAAAGAATTTGGACACTTAAGCCACATTTAAAAGTGTCTGAATGTTTTTGCATTATATAGCAAAACATCTAACCAAGTGACAAGTGTACAAATACTTTTGGGCCACTGTACATCAAAATTAAATCATTACTGAATTATTTATTTTGTGTGGAAGTGGTTTCTAGAGTGAGCTGGTTGCTCTATTTGCAGGTATTTGATTTCAGGATATTGCAAAAGAAAATCTGAGATTTTGTTAATGAATGCAGGCAGCAGACTGGCAGAAAAATCCCACAGGACCTCACAAGCATTGGTGAAGGAGCGCAGTGAAGTTCTGAGGGCAGGGCTAGAGAACCTCTTGCATCATCAAAAACTCAGAGAGGCAGAAGCACAGAAACCCAACAAAACTACCAGTGCCATCAACCCAGACCATGCTAAGGTTTTTTATTATTATTATTATTATTATTATTATTATTATTATCATCATTAACAATTTATTTATACTTAGTTTAGTTATAGCTCTACTTTTTATTGAGATACACTACCTTTAAAAAATTTAGAGTCAATAAGATTTTGAAAGAAGTTACTTTTATTCAGCAAGGATGCATTAAATTGATCAAAAGTGGCAGTAAAAATAGTTATTTTAAATAAGTGCTGTTCTATTAACATCAAATAGTCATGAAAAAAATGTATCAAAGTTTCCACAAAATCATTAAGCAGCACAACTGTTTTCAACATTGATAATAATAAGAAATGTTTCTTGATCACCAAATCATGATATTACAATTTTTTTCTGAAGGATCACGAGACACTGAGACTGGAGTGGCTGCTGAAAATTCAGCTTTGCTATCACAGGAATAAATGACATTTTAAGATATATTAAAATAGAAAGCAAAATTACAGTTTTTTATCGTATTTCTGATTAAATAAATGCAGCCTTGTTGAGCATAAGAGACTTAAATGGTTGTGCATTTAAACAAACAAACAAAAAAAAAACAACACACTGCCCCTCATTCAACAGGCCGGTCATGTTTGTGATGCCAGCTTCCAGCAGCCCACTGTCTCATCCCGACTGAGGGAAAACCAGGTACCTCAGAAAGAGGCCACTGTGCCTTGGATACCAACATCCCCTCATTCTCCTCCTCTCCCACGGTCAGTACATCTTGCACACAGGACTTGACATGCTTGCACCTTTGTGTTCTCCTAATATATCTGTATTTCTGTCAGGACCACTATCGTCAAAGATGATTGACAGTTGGTATACAGTTTGGATTGGCGGTATGGTTCTGTTCTGGGCAAGAACTCCCTGTGCATCCATGCAGCCTAGCATGGATGAGAGCAGGGAGAGCAGCGATAACCCCCAGGGTAAACAGAACAGAACCAACATAAATGTATTGCAGATATCGTTAAAGTTCAATAATTTTATGTACACATTTTAGAATTAGTCTGATTCAAAGGATAATCAGAAGGCTGAATCCTGACTGACAGAGGAGGAGCTGGGGATGTAAGAGGGTAATTAGCTATTGAGCAATGCGAAAACTGCTGAAAAAAATTTAGAGAATAAGATTTTGAAAGAAGTTACTTTTATTCAGCAAGGATGCATTAAATTGATCAAAAGTGGCAGTAAAAATAGTTATTTTAAATAAGTGCTGTTCTATTAACATCAAATAGTCATGAAAAAATGTATCAAAGTTTCCACAAAATCATTAAGCAGCACAACTGTTTTCAACATTGATAATAATAAGAAATGTTTCTTGATCACCAAATCATGATATTACAATTTTTTTCTGAAGGATCACGAGACACTGAGACTGGAGTGGCTGCTGAAAATTCAGCTTTGCTATCACAGGAATAAATGACATTTTAAGATATATTAAAATAGAAAGCAAAATTACAGTTTTTTATCGTATTTCTGATTAAATAAATGCAGCCTTGTTGAGCATAAGAGACTTAAATGGTTGTGCATTTAAACAAACAAACAAAAAAAAAACAACACACTGCCCCTCATTCAACAGGCCGGTCATGTTTGTGATGCCAGCTTCCAGCAGCCCACTGTCTCATCCCGACTGAGGGAAAACCAGGTACCTCAGAAAGAGGCCACTGTGCCTTGGATACCAACATCCCCTCATTCTCCTCCTCTCCCACGGTCAGTACATCTTGCACACAGGACTTGACATGCTTGCACCTTTGTGTTCTCCTAATATATCTGTATTTCTGTCAGGACCACTATCGTCAAAGATGATTGACAGTTGGTATACAGTTTGGATTGGCGGTATGGTTCTGTTCTGGGCAAGAACTCCCTGTGCATCCATGCAGCCTAGCATGGATGAGAGCAGGGAGAGCAGCGATAACCCCCAGGGTAAACAGAACAGAACCAACATAAATGTATTGCAGATATCGTTAAAGTTCAATAATTTTATGTACACATTTTAGAATTAGTCTGATTCAAAGGATAATCAGAAGGCTGAATCCTGACTGACAGAGGAGGAGCTGGGGATGTAAGAGGGTAATTAGCTATTGAGCAATGCGAAAACTGCTGATAATACTGAGGGACCTTATATATGAATGCTTAGATTGGTGTTGTATTCCTATAGGTAGATGGGGATCAGCTGAGAGTCAGCTGATGCGAGCTTGACTAACGTGACCTGCCAGAACTAACGCTATGCTTGATATATACTCATGTATAGTGCTGTGTCTAGCCGGCCAGAGCCCAGATGTCTGTTCTCACCTAAAAAGAGCCCTGAAAAGCAGAAGCCACAGACCAGACCCAGTGGCAGCACACAGCTCAGCCCTTCATCACATGACAGGAAACAAGCACAAAATGAAGCCCTTAGGTATGTAATGAACCCTCTCTTTCAGTTATTTAAGACATTTCATTATCACTGGGCTCTCTTTCTAACTAAACGATCATCACTATGATCCTCAATTGTGACATTAAATGCTCACGTTCGCTGATGTAGATGATATTTTTTAGCTGTTGAGTATGAGACTGCAGTAGATGTTCAGTGGTGTGTATGTTTATGTGCTATAGGCAAGCCTGGCTGGACAGGGTGACTGCAGACAGACTAAGAGAACTGAATCGTCTGAGTAAAGAGGAGGCTGACCGCATTAACATACTCCGGTACAACAGCAGCTTCCTCATTATTATAGTTAACCAGTGGTTCAGTGAACTGTGTATGCAAGAAATTAATTTTGCTGCTTGTTTAATTAAGTTGATTAAATTAAAATGAGCTAATACAATGCATTTCTTGAACATTTTATCACTAAACTTCATTGGTTGCAATCAATTTAAATTAGCAAAATGGAAGTTGACATAATCCATTTGTGTTGGGGATTCTTGAATAATGATGTATGAAAATCCAGATGTAGACAAACTGGCTGGAAATGAATTTGAGTGTTTTTTTTTAAGTCTCATATCACCTGTCTATGTAGTTAATTTATCTTATTAAATATACCACTACACTGTAAAAATTTTTATTTTTTTATTTTTCATGTTATATGCCAGAAAAATAGCAAAAAAATTGAAGAAATTTATAAAATATTATATAAATATTATTATAAAATTATATATGCATAAAGTTTTAATAATAAAGCATAACTTTGGAAAGGTTAATTGAACTTTCTATTATTTGAGTGTGTGTTTGCACTGATGTGTATTAATATGTGGCCATGGTAGGACCACAGTGGGCTCTCCAACACAATGGGCGGAAAAAGCTGAGCAGACCGCTAGAGAGAGAATTCAGCCTTTGTTGGATCAACCACAGGTAAACACATTCATCTGATGTTGTTTTTCCCAAATAATTTATGACATGTTATTGTATCAGCAGGAGATATAAGTCCTTGTAAGACTTGAGTGTACCATTTGGACAATTTTTCCCTAATATTTTAATGTTCTTCCCTTTGGGCACACTGAGAACAGCTGTTGTGTGTGTATGTTGGTTGTAAATAGAGAATCCTGTCTCTACTGTTTTTGTCTCATATTTGTACGGCAGGTGGTTGGAACAGGAAGTGACACACTCAGAGAGCGGCTGAATGTTGCAGATAAGGTGAGAACCCACACTTTTTTTCAGAAGTCAGAAAGAGCTTTATTGCCAAGTATGTTTACACACACAAGGAATTTGTCTTAGCAACAGGAGCTTCCAGTGCAAAAGAAAGTACAGACATAGATGAAATATAACACTAATAGAAGAAAAACTGAAAATTAAAAATGCAACATAATACAGAAGTAAAAATATAGAGGGAAAAACATATCTAATTGTTTTAATTAATATACAGATATGTTACAGACTATAATTGACAATGTATAGTTGAAAGTTTTAATTGTACAGGCTGAATATAGCCTGTGGGGAAAAAACTTGTGCCTGGCTTTTCTGGTGGTCGGTGCTTTGTAGCGCCGACCAGAGGGCAACAGTTCAAAGAGAGAGTGGGCTGGATGTGAGGGGTCCAGAGTGATTTTCTTAGCTCTTTTTTATCACTCTGGTGGTGTAAAGATCTTGGAGGTTGGGCAGGGGGAACCAATAATCTTCTCAGCAGTCCTGACTGTCCATTGTAGTCTCTTGATGTCTGATTTGGTAGCTGAACCAAACCAGACAGTTATGGACGAACACAGGATGGACTCAATGATGGCAGAGTAGAACTGTTTCACCAGCTCCTGTGGCTGCTGGTCCTTTTTAGCAATGGAGGCTATGTGGCAGTCCTGACTGTCCATTGTAGTCTCTTGATGTCTGATTTGGTAGCTGAACCAAACCAGACAGTTATGGTCATGGATGAACACAGGACGGACTCAATGATGGCCGAGTAGAACTGTTTCAGCAGCTCCTGTGGCAGGTTGAATTTCCTCAGTTGGCGAAGGAAGTGCAACCTCTGCTGGGCTTTAGCAATGGAGTCTATTGGCGCTTTTCCACTGCGTGGTACAACTCAGCTCGGCAGGTCTCGGTTTGTGTTTCCACTGCAGTTTAGTACCGCTTTAGAGTGGGCGGGATTATTTACATGTTGTTATAGTTGCGCCGCCTCTACTGTTGCGACTCCTGAAACTTTCAGCTCCAGGTTGTTGTGACTGCACCAGACAGCCAGCTCTTTAACCTCCTGTCTGTAAGCAGACTCGTCTTCGTTGTGTATGAGGCCGATGATGGTAGTGTCATTTGCAAATTTCACAGAGGGGTCTTTAGCAGTGCATTTGTTCATATACAGGGAGAAGAGCAGTGAGTAGAGCACACATCCCTGAGGGGCGCCAATGCTGATCGTGAGAGTTTACCTAGACTCACTAGCTGCTGCCTGTCTGTCAGGAAGCTGGTGATCCATTGACAGATTGGGGTGGGCATGGAGAGCTGGGTCAGTTTGTCTGAGAGAAGGTCAGACATGATGGTATTGAAGGCCGAACTGAAGTCTACAAACAAGATCCTTGCGTAAGTCCCAGGTCTATCAAGATGTTGCATAATATAATGCAGTCTCATGCTGACTCCATTATCCACAGACCTGTTTGCTCTGTACCCAAACTGAAGAGGACCCAGCAAGGGCCATAATGTAATATTTCATGATTGCATACATTTAATCTTTTTAAAAAATTATGATCACATAAAAATGAATTACATTATTTTTTTATGTAATCCCTTGGTGGTATTTGCTCCGAAAGACCAACTATATCACTGTTAACAAGAACTAATGCGGTCATACATACATTAGACATTGTATCTTTTTATATTCCATGTATATAGTGTTTCACAGTAATGTACTGTATTACTGCTTTATGGTGCACCTTTGTTCAGTATGAGTCCAGAATATGTCCAGAATGTGGTTTGAGACCTATAATGAAAGAGAGGGTTACGAGTGATGTTTCATGCCTTTGTATACAGGTATCGTTATATATGTAGATTAATATTCATTATTGTTCAAAAGTTTGTCAATTTCATGACTATGAATTTTTTTTAAGGAAATAAATACTTTCAGCAAGGATATATTAAATCTATAAAAAGTGCCAGTAAAGACTTTTACACTGCTACAAAATCTACAAACAAAATCTATTTCAAATGTTCTCTATTATGTTCTTTTGAACTTTCTTTTTATCAAAGATTCCTGAAAATGTATCACAGTTCTCACAAAAATATGAAGCAGAAGTCAGAGTCAGAAAGAACTTTATTGCCAAGTATGTTTACACACACAAGGAATTTATCTTGGCGACAGGAGCTTCCAGTGCAAAAGAAAGTACAGACATAGTGCAAACATTCATGATAGTGCAGACATACATAAAAATTACACAGTAGATCAAGAAATATAACACTAATATAAGAAAATCAGAAAATTAAATAATGCAATATAATACAGAAATAGAAATATAGAAAAAAACATAAATTAATGTACAGATATGTTATTTAGTGTACAGTTTATGCAGTTTACAAATGAACAGTTTTCATATGCTATGTATAAATGTGTCAGTTATAATGGACGATGTATAGTTAGGAAAGTTTTAATTGTTTTAATAGTTTTAATAGTTTTAATTAGTCTCGTTGTAGTCTCTTGATGTCTGATTTGGATGAACACAGGATGGAGGCCGAGTAGTATGAACACAGGACAGACTCGATGGCTGAGTAGAATTGTTTCAGCAGCTCCTGTGGCAGGTTGAATTTCCTCAGTTGGCGAAGGAAGTACAACCTCTGCTGGGCCTTTTGAACAGTGGAGTCAATGTGAGTGTCCCACTTCAGGTCCTGAGAGATGGTGGTGCCCAGGAATCTGAATGACTCCACTGCAGCCACAGCGCTGTCCATGATGGTGAGTGGGGGGAGTGCAGGGGGGTTCCTCCTGAAGTCCACGATCATCTTCACTGTTTTGAGCGTGTTCAGCTCCAGGTTGTTAAGACCGCACCAGACAGACAGCTCTTTAACCTCCTGTCTGTAAGCAGACTTGTCTCCGTCCTGAATGAGGCCGATAAGTGTGGTGTCGTCTGCAAACTTTAGGAACTTGACAGAGGGGTCCTTTGAAGTGCAGTCGTTTGTGTAGAGGGAGAAGAGCAGTGGGGAGAGAACACAACCCTGAGGAGCTCCAGTGCTGAGAAGGTCAGGCGTTATGGTACTGAAGCCTGAAATGAAGTCTACAAACAAGATCCTTGCGTAAGTCCCAGGTCTATCAAGATGTTGCATAATATAATGCAGTCTCATGCTGACTCCATTATCCACAGACCTGTTTGCTCTGTACCCAAACTGAAGAGGACCCAGCAAGGGTCCAGTGATGTCTTTCAGATAGGCCAACACCAGTCTCTCAAATGACTTCATGACCACTGATGTGAGAGTGACAGGGCTGTAGTCGTTTAGTCCAGTGTTTTTTGGGGACCGGAATGATAGTGGAGTGTTTGAAGCAAGAGGGGACTACACACAGCTCCAGTGATCTTTTGAAGATCTGTGTAAAGATGGGGGCCAGTTGGTCAGCGCAGACTCTTAAACAGGCAGGTCAAACCATTTGGGCCTGAAGCTTTCTTAGTCTTCTGTTTTCTGAAGATCCGGTTCACATCCTGTGCACAGACCCTAAGTCTGTTTCTGGCCTGGTTATACAAGATTTTTGTAAGCATCCTCCTTGGCATAACAAAGCTGTTTGAATTTCCCAGTGAACATGGTTTATCATTACTGAATGATAGGAATGTCCTGGTAGGAATGCACATATCCTCACAGTAACTGATAAATGAAGTTACAGTATCTGTGAGCCCATCCAGATCGGTGGCTGCAGCTTCAAAAACACTCCAATAAGTGCAGTCGAAGCAGGCTTGTAAATCCTGCTCTGCTTCATTAGTCCATTTTTTAACAATCCTTAATACAGGTTTAGCTGATTTCAGTTTCTGCCTGTAGGTTGATATGAGATGAACTAGACAGTGATCAGAGTGATATACATCCTTTATTGTGCTGTAACAGTGATCCAATATATTACTGTCTCTGGTGTGTGTGTGTGTGTGTGTGCTGTCTGAATTTTGGGAGTTCACAGGAAATATTTGCTTTGTTAAAATCTCCAAGAATGATTAAAAGAGAGTCTGGGAAAGAGAGTTCTCACCAAGCACTGAGAACATTTGTAAACGGAATATTTAATGAATGTTCAAATTACAAACATTCACACAAAACAAAAATGTGAGAAGGATTCATTTGAACATTTTAACCTCCAAAGTAAACAGCTTCAAATTAAAAATGTAATGCGGTACTATTCTGTGCTGTGTTGTGTTGTAAATGCCGACAGCCTGGGGCCAGTGCGGACAAACTGAGCGAAGCTCTTTTGGAAGATCTTCTGGAGGACGCCGCTCGAGCTTTGTGGTTAACTGAGAGGCAGCAGGTGGCTGAGACTGATGCTGAAAGGCAGCTGCAGGGCCCCACATTAGAGAGCATGTGGATGAGGATGGAGGAGATGGAGGTCAGTGTGTGGGACTATAAGATTTGTGAGTTTGGAGTGATGCCACACTTTTTTGTAATGTAATGGATTGAACTTTATATATTTCCTTTTTATTTGTATTTATTATTATTATTAATATTAATATCATTATTATTATTAAAAGGTTATTAAAAGTTAAAACTAAAAGTTATAACAATAATATGAAATTATTATAAAGTAATGATAAAGTAAAAACCAGAAAAGTTGTTATTATTATAACAATTATAAATAATAATATTGTTATTATATAAAAAATAAATTATTAAAATAAAAAATAATTAAGTGTTATTGTATTATTATTATCATTATTATTATTTACTTTGTTATTTTATTTTGTTTCTTTGCAACATTTTCACTGGTTAAAAAAAAATATATATATATTACATTTATAAATGAAAATGTATAAATAATATAAAAATTAAATTACATTTAAGAAAATGAAATTAACTATGAAATCACATGACTCACAAAGCTCTATTTTGTTTCCCAGAGAGACCAGGAAGAAGTGCGTAGACGCTTTGCTATGATCTCATACTCTGACCCTCTTATCTGGGAAAAAGGCACAGGTGAGTCACAGGGCCCAGATAGACCATTTACATTCCCCAATTGATAGTAGACAGGAAGACTGACAAAAGCAGTTATCAGTTGTCCTTTTGGGAGCATCAGAAGGTCAGCGTCTCCCCACTTTGTCCCTGGAGAGACAGACAAGTATGTGCTCTGCATTTTGTATGGCTGACATGACTGTGATTTCCACCATATGGCAGCAATGTAAAACGTCTTGTGTGTTGCAGATGCTCCGAGGAATATTTCTAGCTCTAGGCCAGCCTCTCCTCAGCCAATCCGACTGACGAAACCAGTCCTGAATGCACCCGGTACGGCTGACATCCTCCTGCAAAAGCCAGTGGAGACTGGGTGAGTGACTATCGACTGATTTTAGAGTGTACTGACTGCATATATATCAGGCACATTTGGATCAGTCACAATTGAATCAGTCTTCACTTGAATTGCAGGGGAACTGCACATTGACCAGAGTGTTTTTCGCACTGCAATATCTGTCTGTTTAGGGAATATTCAATAACAGCCACATTGAAATCGAATTCCAAAATATCAGCTGGTAAAAGCCAGTCTCTCTCTCTATCTCTTTCTCCCTCCGCCTCCTCCTTCTATAGTTCTGCCAAGAGAGAGCGAGAGCCTCGCTTCTTTCTGCCCAAAGCTTTGGCAGCAGCTGTGGCTCAGTAAATTAATGAGGAAAATAAAAGAATAAAATGGGACAGTCTTGAGTGCGTGAGAGTTGTCTAAAGTGAGAGGGGCATGAAGGGAAAAATGAGTGGAACAGGTTCAGTAGATACATTAGAAGATTAAAATCCTTTCTCCTTTTCGACTTCAGCTTGCAGCGAGGCCCTGAACACTGTGTAAACATTCATCCTCCACTTTCTTTTTCTCTCTCAACGTAGGAGCACAATGTCTACACAAACTTCAAAGCACCATCTCATGTCTAATCTCAGGGAATTACAGGATCTACAAGCCTTTCAAGGGTGCAATTCTGTCTGCTACATACTGACTAAAATGATCAACACACCTTTCAATAATTTACATTTGCATTTATTCATGTAGCAAATGCTTTTATCAAAGTGACAACACAAGCAAATCATTCTAAATGCTGCAATACAAAGTGTCAAAGGTAGAAACTAATATAATGATGTACGTGTGACAGTAACAAGTAAGGTGCTAATGGGTGTTATATATATATATATATATATATATATATGTAGGTAAATGCTAATTTAATGTCTGCCTATTGTTGCTGCCTCTGTTATCATACAGTGCATTTGTTCAGTGGTCTCAGGTCAATGAGCCACATGCTTCACTGTGACACCAACTTCAATCTGGAACCGTTACAGACAGAGGGGACTGATAGAGACACTGTAATCCTTTTATAGTAATGTTTGTGTTACCATACCTTTACATGCAAGCATATTCAGTTAACATCCCAGACAGTAACCGCAAGGACTGGTTAGCCCCACTTGGAGATTTGTTTATTCTCTCTATATTCCAATGCACTCACCATGGGCATTTGGGTTAGCATGGATGTCACAGGCTGCTGAGAATCGAGGCTGCATGGGCCATAGTTTCTCTCCACTGCCCCTGATCTAAACCATTGTTTGGATTTATTTATCCTCAGCCAGTCACTTAATGCTGACAGAAAACATCAGCTCTAAAATGTCACTGCATCAGGAGACTATTCTTCAGTCTCTCTTACTGTGTCTGTGTCTGAATTGAAACATGAGCAATGACTGTGACCACGATTAAGATCCCTCTGGAGAAATCCAGTGAGCTGCAGTGACTGATAGGGATGCAGGGATCAAGGCTCTGTCAGTTATACTGGCAGTTTTCCAGGAAAAAAAAAATCACAGTAGAAGATTATTTTTTGGGTTTGGTAAGATTTAAAAAAAATTTTTTTTCAAAGAAGCCTCTTGCACCAAGGCTGCATGTTTTTAATTGAAAATATCATTACAATTTAAAATAACAGTTTTCTATTTTAATAAATGGTTAGAGACTTGTAACCCGGTTCGGACTTGTAACCCGAAGGTCGTGTGTTCGAGTCTCAGTACTGGCAGGGATTGTAGGTGGGGGAGTGAATGACCAGCACTCTTTTCCACCTTCAATACCATGACTAAGGTGCTCTTGAGCAAGGCACTGAACACACAACTGCCCCCTGGGCACCGTAGCAAAAATGGCTGCCCACTGCTCCAGGTGTGTGTGTGCTCACTACTCACTGCTGTGTGTTTGCACTTGGATGGGTTAAATGCAGAGCACAAATTCCGAGAATGGGACACCATATTTGGCCACATGTCACGGCAGTCCTTTGGCAAAAAATTTATTACATTTTTTTTTATGGGGTGCACTTATTTTTTCAAGATACTGTAGTTAGTAAGTAGTCTTTTAGCAGTTGCTTGTATCCAAAACAACTTTATATTACACGCAGTGCTATCATCATATTTTCAAGGATAAGATCTTGACATCACTTCAAGATCCTTGTCTGCTGATGAAAAGCTGCCAGGTGGCCAACTAATGCGATATTTTATTACTCTGACTCAGAAAATGGCTGTCACTGAAAGCTTTTTCAAGTTATTTTTGGCTAATCATTCCAAAAGAAGTGTTCTGCGTTCATCCTGCTTGCAGAGTGTAATGACAACTTGGCAACTGCTGCTCGATTAAAAGCCACATAAATGGACATTACAGTATACTCATGATCAGAAAGTTACAGTCAATCTGCTCATCAGCTCTCTCTTACTGCCATTTATTCTTCCGGCCTTGTTCGTTAATTCTATCCTTATGTTACAGTTTTATATATTAGAATCAACCTAATGGTTCAATCAAACTCTCAGTGATCATTTTACATCCGTTTCTGCAGCTTATTTACATCAGAATGGACAATTATTGGGCGGATGTGGCTGGGAAAGATAAAACTCATGGAAAATGAATTATGCAAAGCATTATGGTAATTACTCGGCTTTTAGTATAGCCACTAAAGGCCAAGGCGGAACAGAGGATTTATGATGAGAAACCATTAAAACTTTATTTGCGTATGAAATGTGCCACTAGAGAAAGCAACAGAATGTTTTGGGGTCTTTGTGTCGATGTAGCGCATGCTCATGGGAGGTAATTTGAGGAGCGGATATTGGGCCCTGATGTTGATTAGCATGCAGAGTTTATTATTTGTTGTGTAATCTGTGATTACCTGTGTAGACAACACACTGTTTGACACTGAAACACAGCAGAGTTTCTAAATGCCACACACAAACCAATTGGGGATTTATACGGTTCATTTGTTACTGCCAGACTGGTTGCAAAGCAGTAGTGTGCGTCCTTACTTTAGCACAATAGAGAGCTGTCAGTGTGGCTTTTTAAAAAAAAATAAATTATTTTTATAAATATTCAGAGAATCATTTTGGCTGTTAGATGTTAGGGGACCAGGGGGTGAAGCTAAAAAGCTCTGCTGGAGCATAATCAATCACTGTGCCTGATTTGTAATGTAACTCAATACATGTGTTTGCTTCTCGGTTTTTCTCCCTCTGTGATTTGTTTTGATTTTTCTATTAGTGGGTTGTAAAGTCAAGCGTCATTTGATGCTGCCATAAAAGCATCAAACGGACCAATCTGAGCACTGAAATCACCAGACACTCCTCTTCCATTCTAGTCCATTTTAGTACACTCTTTTAACATCAATATTTCACACAATACACAGACAGAGAGGAAGGATTTTGATGTAAAAGATAATTGTGCACCATTTCTGTTTTCTTTATGCTTAAGGTGATATTTTAATTTCAAAATAAAATGGCATTCAGTGTTGCACTGGCTTTGATTTAATTCATCTTATCCATTTTGAATGAGTGAAAGTGGGCAGTACGTACAGGGATTACAGGTGGTTGTAGAGACATGGTTGAAAAATGAGAATGCTTGGGGACCTCAGTCCAAAAGGGATGCTATTTCAGAGACAAAGCAAGTTACTACATTTTTTAAAGGGATGATTTCTGTTAAATAAAATATCTCCTTTTGAAGTGGACTTTGAACTTTGTAACTTTGCAGTTCTTTTTTTGCTCAAACAGCAACATTACAGACTAACTAAAGTTGAAAAAGTGAAAAAGCATAATAGGACCCCTTTAATGAAATATTACAAAGGCAAAAACCTTTTTTTTTAAATGAAGTACTTATTCAAGCAATGACATTAAATTGTGACAGCAAAGACATTTATAATGTTATAAAAGACTATTTCAAATAGATGCTTTTCTTTGAAGCGTTCTATTAATCAAATCCATTTTTAATATAAACCCTGAAAAATAATGAATCATGGTTTCCACAAAAATATCAAGCAGCACATATGTTTCCATCTTCGATAATAATAAGAAATATTTCTTGAGCACCAAATCAGCTTATTAGAATGATTCCTGAAGGATCATGTGACACTGAAGCTTGGAGTAAAGGCTGATGAGATCCAGCTTTACAGGAATAAATTACTTTTTAAAATATATTAAAACAGAAAATAGTTATTTTAAGTTGTAATCATATTTACAATTTTACAGTATTTCACAATATTACAATTTTACTGTATTTCTGGTCAAATAAAGGTAGCCTTGGTCAGCATAAGAGACTTCTTTCAAAAGCATTAAAAAATTTTACAGACCGCAGCTTTAGAACAGCAGTGTGATTCTTTATAACAATTAAATATGAAATAACTAATAATGAATTAATATGAAATAACAAATAATTGTCATTTGCACGTATCCTTCTGCAAGTTCAACAAAACTAATGTTCTGCAAAAAGTAATCAAAATTGCATAACATTTATGCAATTTTATTTAATTTTATTTATTTAACATTCATTTAAGGCTTATTTTAATAAAATACACATCTTGAAACAAAGTTTGTTTTAAGTATAGATCTAACTAAAGTTAGTAAGGTTTGTGCTTAAAACAAGAAAATACTAATGGTGTGAGAAACACAAACGCAATTCAGGATTTATTTTCTGAAAACAAAATGTATTTTCTGCTGCTAAAGTACATTGGTATTTGTTTTAATTCATTTTGTTAATTTTGCAGTGTACTGTTGAATCTTCCACACTGTGCAACACAAACTCTCACTGGATCAAGTTTTCTAATGTGTGACTATAAGGAACAGAATCATAGAGAAGTGATAGCTGATAAGTGGCGATATCTTATAATGTCCTTTGTCCGCACATAGGGGTTATTGGTGTTGGAGGACTCCATAGAGTGACCAACACTTCTGAGAGAGTGTGTGATCCGCCATTGCTCATTCAAAGCTAAAAGAGATCAATGCGGAGCCCATGGTGAGGCTGTGGCTTTTGGTTTGATCCCCATTCTCTGTTCTCTAACCTTTTATTTCATACCACAT